TCTAATGTGGGCCATTGGTATGCTTTGATAAGGGCATCAAACTCTAAATACCTTCTGTTGAATTAGTGCCTAAAATTGGGAGTATTCCATTCCAGGAGGGAACGATGGATTTCTTAGGATTGGGAAAAGTAAGTCTGCAGAGTCTGCAGATTAAATAGCTCCTAGAAATATATTCCAACAGTAAAACAATATAAAAATTGTTTAAAATAACAGAAACATGGATACAAGTTCTCTGTTCATATCCATTTCATATCTGGTTGTACAAACAATTTAAGACACTATAAATGCATGGAAATCTAAAGTAATGTAGTAATACTCCACCAAAGGAAGTTATAAATACCACACCTATTAAAACTTTTATATAATGCAACCTCCCTGTAATTCTAAATCCTGCACCTGTTGTGGTTTATGTGTCTTCATGATCTTATCTGCACATTCCTCCTATTAAACAAACTGAACATTTTAATGACCAAACACATTATACTGTAGCTGTGTAATTTTGTAATCTCTGTATCAGTTCAGAGAAGATAATTACTACAATGAATGACATGGCCTTTGTGGAACCTTGAGTCAACTGAGATACCTTTTTGTCTAATCCTTCTTCTCATCTACCCCACCTTCATCCAGATAGTTATAATTAATTGCCCCTGCATGAGTGTAGCTTGTGCACATACCTCTGTTATGAAAAAGGAAATGGTTTAGTACATACAAAACATCAGCATCATCTAGTACAGTGGTGCAAACTGTGGCCTGGGGGACACATGTAGCCCTTTGCTTGCCTTTATTTGGCCCTTGGGGCACTATTCCTCTTACTGATATGAGGCACTACTTCTGCTACTGATACCAAAAATGGTGTAATAATTCCTACACTGACCTCAATGATGGGGTACTATTCCTCCACCTGACACCAACGATTAGGGAAATTCCTCCTGCTGACACCAACAATGGGACACTATTCCTCCCCTTGACACCAACGGTGGGGCACTATTTTCTCACTCTCACCAACGATGGGGCACTATTCCTCCTACTGACACAAACGATGGGGCATTGTTTACTCCCACTGATGACAGGACATTTTCTACTTCCATTGGCCACAATGTGCCCCCCCCCCCCAAAGTCTGAAGGACACTTAAAGTGCTACTAAACCCAGGACCCTGTATTCACTCTATCTGGTCTCGCACAGTACATACTACATGGAAATGTAATTAATTTAGTAAATATAAACTTAAAAATACTTTTTCTCATCAGCAATTAGAGCAGTCTTATGACTTCTATCAGTGTCCAGCAGAGCACTGATTTCTTTCAGCTCTGGGAGGATGCAGAACCCCTGACCTCTGTCTGGACAGTGTTGATTGGTCCTGTGCTGATCACATGCACTCTCTTAAGTAAAATAAAAAAAAAATCCCTAGCAATACACACCAAACTGAGCATGTGCAGAGTGTCTCCACACAATATGTCTTATCAGGAAATAAAAGGGAGACACTGGAAGAAGGGGTGGATCAGAGAAGTCAGGATTAAAAAGCATTTTTAAACAGTGCAAAGGCTTAACCCCTTCGGTTCCACAATGAGTATAACAAGAATGTTTTACTGCATAAACAGACTGATTTTACTGTTGTGGATTTAGTAACACTTTAACTGGCCCTTTGGTTAGAAAGTTTGGAGAGCCCTGATCTAGTAGATTGAAATCTTGAAGGATGCCCCCCCCCCCCAACTAAAGCTTTTTTTTTTACTATACCCTACTTTGATATGAAGAATTATGGGATGAATGGCAAACTATTGAAATGTTCTGACTGCTGCAGACTCTCTACAGTGCTGGCCACATATCTGAAGGCCTTGGACATATGGGGGTTTATTTACTGAAGCTGGAGAGTCCAAAATCAGACTCCCTTCTGCATAGAAACCAATCAGCTTCTAACCTCAGCTTGTTCAATGAAGCTTTGGCAATGAAACCTGGAAGCTGATTGGTTTCTATGCAGAAGTGAGTCTGATTTTGGACTCTCCAGCTTTAGTAAATAAACCCCATGATGTCTGCAAAAAGGAAGGAAAAAAACAGAATGGTTAATCTTTCCTGTCATACATCATGTGACCACATGCTTAGGCTTTCAAAGATGGGGCTAGCACTGAAATGAGCTTGGAGCTAAATTTTCTTTAAAAAAAGATCTTTATTTCTTCTATTTATGTTTTTTTTTCCAAAAATTTTTATTGAAATACAAGAGAGATTAAAGACATGTACGGAGCACATTCTGCAGTGAAGCAATCTCCCGTAACGCTGACGGGTACTTCAGGAATGGAATAGAACTGTCAAAAAGGAATCATTGATTGAGCCTAATAACTCAAACACAATCACAACTCAGGGAACCCCTCAAGACAAAGGGGTCACTCCACTTGACAAATTGGCATCTAAGCGAACCAAAAAGAGTGACAAACAATTGCTTAGAGAGTACAAAATTCCTTTATTCTCAATATAAACACAACAACAGGAAAGAAAAGGCAACAAATGTGTTTCAGAGGCCCACAAACTTCCCCTCCCCCCTTACAATACAAATAAAAATGTATATATTTATACATATTTATATATTTTTTTCATTTGTATTGTGCCTTACAGTACTTTCCTGGGAGAAGAATAAGGACGTTTGTGGACTCTTTAGACAATTGTTTGGCAATCTTTTGGTTGAGTTGTATGCAGACATTTATATTTTTAGCCCTCCCAGGAAGACTGTTAAAGTGTATGTCAAGCCAACTTTTATTTTTTTTTGCTTTAGATAGACTGGAGCATTGCTGTTGCAGCAATCCCCTCACTTCTTGCCTGATAAAACATTATAAGCATGATAGTAAGTGAGTGGTAATCTCTCTAATGGAGGAGAAAAAATTAAAAATGCTTATGCAAAATCCCTGTATCGTACCACCTAAATTGGCGGGTTGAGTTCCTCTACATGTGTAACTTTAGACCACCCAGAAACAGAGGAAAAGAGGAAAAAATGTACTCAATAAATATAATCAATTTTTATTAAATGATTCCCACAAATCCACACATCCCCCATCATCCCCATGACATAATTAAACACCAATTGGCAATAATCTCCCAGGAAATGGAGATTTCTTACTGGATGAACAGTTGGAACAATATGTACATTTCACGTGTAGCATTTTACTATGAGTATTCTTACCAACCTAGGGAATTGGGTTATCATGCACAATGCCCGTTTAGGATATTCTATAGGATTTCGATCAGCATGATGATCCTTAGATTAAGAGTCCCAGGTCAATGGGCTTTAATATCAGCATCCCAGCCAATCTCTACTCTGTATGGGAACCTTTTTGTTCTTTGAGTATGTGATCATTAGGTTTATATTTATTGTGTCTACTGCTGCGTGCATTTGCATACTATGTTTCCATTATATACTAAGAGGGCACAATCAAGCCAGGAATTATTCATGGCCTTGACTCAAGTATAACCCTTTGATTATTTGTATGGGGAGTTATTTATGTATCACGGCTTGAACATATAACAGCATTTTTATGGCTTAGTATCTCCTGAGAGATTATTGACAATTTTCTTTTTTTAATTGTCATGGGGAGGGAGGGGATTATATGTATTTGTGGCATTTGATTAAAAAAAAAGTATAACATTTATTGAGTGCATTTTTTTTTGTTATTCCTCTTTTTTTTGGTGGTTTAAAATCTCTCTAATGGAGATGAGGATAGCAACAGGGGTTCTGATCTTTCCCCACTCGATTGAAAGATAAATAAAAAACTAGGCATTTGACATACACTGTAAAAGGATGAACTCCAGGCCAAACGGAAAAAAAAAAACCTTTGTAGCGCACTCTTCTGGGTGGTTCCTTGGCATCCTCATACACAATGCAAGCTATTGGTCCTGCTTTGTGCTTGATGACATCATTGTGCCTGAGACTGCTTTGAGAAACCGGTGAATGTATTTTCTGTTTGCTGCATCAACAATCAGATTCAAACTTCAGAGGCACATCTGAAATTGATCTTCGTGTTGACATTTGATGCATCAAGTTTTCTGTGCAGTATGTCAAAGGCACCAAGGTGTCTACCATGTTTTGGAATAGTTTTTCTGCATGCCAAATAAATAAATAAATAAATAAATAAGGTACTAGTCATAGAGAATAAAGTGGATTTGCCCATTACATGAATGCCTGGTTGAAAAACAGAAACCATTTGTGTCCTGTATATATCTCAAGGTTTATTTTTTATGCCTGGGGTGTGCCATTCTAATATAGGTCTACACTGAGATTGCACGTAGGGAATGTTTGGGTGGAGGCAAACACTGTACTGTTTTTCAAATAGTGGTTTCAGTTCATTTTGGAAATATCACTTTGAAATCCTGAACATTGAGTGCCTCCCTAACGTTTCCCTGTCACTATAGTAATGGAACCAGTATAAGTGAAAGCTGAAAGCTAGGAACCAATAACCTACTTCTAATATTGTGTGTCCTATTCATAGATGCTGTTCTTGAAAACTGTTAGATTCATGCACCCCCTGACAGTGATGTAAGTGCTGAACTTCTGCTACTAAGACTGACATTCTAGGCTGGAGCACAGTGATCACAGCAAGTCATGTGCTCTGCACCTCCACCATACATGAAACATCTTTTATGTTTTCAAAGAATATAAGCTGTTCTGTGATTGAACAACGGACCGTGAGCTTTACAATCTACACTTGTCTAATAACATATTATTCTTTGAAAAAACATTTTTTTCTCATTTATAATTTATAAATGGCAGAGCTGCAGAGCAAGTGATCACTGTGCTCCAGCCCCTACTGTCAGATTCACTGGCAGAAATTCAGTGCCTCACTGTCAGGGGGTGCATGAATCTAACAGTTTTCAGAAATGAAGCAGCACCCACTAGTGGGACACATATTATTATAGGTACCGAGCAGGCACGGACTGACCATGTGGAAACTCGGTCTGGGCTCCCTGGAGGTGCTTGGGGAATCCAGGAATTTTGTAATGTTCTGTGTTTAATTAATGTATGTAATGTACTGAGTATTATGGTCAGAAGTATGAAGTGTACAACACGGTGTATTATAGTGCTAGTGTCAGGAGCAGGGGCGGACTGACCATTTGGAAACTCGGGCACTGCCTGAGGGCCCGGGGTCAGTAGGGGGGCCCCATGAGATGCCCCTGGTACCTTTTTTCATAGGCTTTTTTTAGTTTGGGCAAGGACACGGGGGCCCCATGATCCCCTATTGCCTAGGGGCCCCATGAGTTGTCAGTCCTCCTCTGGTACCGAGTTAATGCCCCAATATTGTTTTTGCTTAGAGTTCAGCTTTAAGAAAGAATTAGGTGTGAAAGGCTTATATGCGGGTCCCAAACATGACTGTGTGAGTCACATGCTCACCTCCAAGGTCTGTCTGTAACAGGGCTTATTTAGTCCCACACACTGTCCGTCTGTCCGTACTTACAGTCCAAAGTCCTTGCAGAACTCTGCTTCTGCAACACACGTGCATGTATGGTGTGTCTGAAACACAGAGTGCCCCAAACACCCTATCCACCACCATCTCCTAGCCTAGGTTTGCACAAAGTTGTTTCACCAGGATCCTATCTTCCAAGGTTTGTTCTTCATGAAATGCACAGACTAACTTTGCTTAACAGGGTGCTATCCCATATTGCTGCTTTTGGCATCTTATGGCACTTACTTTTGCAAAGTTTTTTTTTTTTTTTGGGAGGGGGGGGGTTACAACTAGCTGGTCTTGCCAAGGGTGCAAAATAGTCTAGCACTGGCCCTGCCCACTGTGAGCTAACAGTGGCAGCTTTTAGATTTGTACTCTCTACAAATCAGTTGTTGCTGCCACTACATGTAACTGCTCATCTGTAACTTAACCTGTAGCATTCAACAGTATATCCATCAGCATTGCTGTTTGCAGGGCATTGCTGAAAAAAATTCCATTCTGTCACTAAGAAAGCAACATTAGAAGGGGCTAAATTCATATGATGGTAGTTTGCAGCATTCAGAAGAGACCAAATGTTGCTTCTAGATCAGGGGTGTAAAACTGGTGGCCCTCCAGCTGTTTCAAAACTACAAGTCCCATCATGCCTCTGCCTTTGGGAGTCATACTTGTTGTGATAATTGTGCACACAAATATGGACAACGACAACCATAATTTAGATCATACTCTGCAAATGTCATTCTCATTCCAAATCAGTCCCCCTCCCTTTTTTTTTTAATGGCATGTGGTGTGTGTGCATGCTGGGGTCACAAGGGCATCGGGCACAGCTGGATACGGTTCATGGTTGTAAATCCAATTAGCTGGTTCCATGATGTCAGACAGACCCTTGCCTTGGCCAGTCATAAAGCTATACACCAGTCAGCCACTGGACATGAAAGCATTCCAGAGGGGCAGTAAAACATACATCCCACTTGAAACCACTTTTTCATTCAATTTGATAAATCCCGGCAGGAACAAGGTACAATAACACAAAGCATATATTCAGAGAGGTCAGTTTAAACGAGTCAACTGATACCTTACACCCCTAGATAATGTCTACCAGAGAGCAGAAAGCAATATCTCTTTAACCGTCACAGCCAGATATGTCATATTTGATGTCTGGGTGTTCAGAATATGGTTCTGCATATTAACCTGCCAGTGGCTAGGCTGCTGCATGCACCTATGGAAGGTTATTGACCATGGTATAAACTTTGGAGGGATTTGGTCCTAACCTGGGTCTCCGCCTAAGCCCCCTCCCCAAATGAGGCGATTTGCCCTTTGGCTTCAGTAAACACCCCCTGCTGGGTTCCTAGAAAACAGCTGTTATGCCTAGAGAGAGAAGATGAAGATATTCTCCCTTGTAACATCAGGAACCAACTCTGGGAGAAAAGGCGCCCTTTTGTTCGGACACTTGATCGCTGCTTAAACCAGGACTTCTGCAAGTATTCTACCTTCTTAACCTTCTTCCTTTATCTTTCTTTTGTGTTATTGTCCTCTCTATTTATATATATATATTGGCTACATCTTATCTGTACATATTTTTATTGCACCGTTTTGACCTTTTTAGTAATAAATCCTATTTTCTGAAAAGTGTTGAACTGTTTCTAAAGCTCTTTAATGCAAACTAAGAATCCCTGTCTCTGAAGAGTGCTACTGTGTGTTTTAAAACCTCTGGATACATCAGTCTGCGGTGACAGTGTGTAAACAGACGCTTATTCAAACATCATAGTGTTACTGCTGAGATTTGTGTGTTTTCTTCTCTGTAAAAAGGTGGTGGTGGCAGTGTGAAGGGTTAATTGCGTAATTAATGTGACCCAGTAACAATTGCTCTCATGCTGTTGGCACCTAGATTGGGGTCCAGTGAGCTGGAAAATCTTTGTGCGGGGTGTAGCTGAGAGTGGCATTGTTACGCAAGTGGCAGCGCTGTTTTAGATTAGCTAGTCCTTCGGTCACAAGTTGGTGAGAAGGACTGGGGTCTGAAGTCACACTCGTCACACTTGTAACTGTCAATCTTGCAGTGCCTCATGGGACAGGTGGAGGGATCCCGTGCTCTAGATGAAGAAACAATCTGCACTATAGCCACATACAAACTGGCCAATCAACTGCAGTTGGTTTGTGTGTGATCAAAACTCAACTGCAACTCAGACACTGAACGCAAACTGGCCGTAATCAGCAATGGTCAGAGGCTCTATTTACATGTAAGCACTTAGATGAGCATTTACATGGAACAACAGTGGTGCTGGCCATTGATTTGTAAAGAGTACAAATCTGACAGCTGCAACTGTTCACACACAATGAATGCAGAAAGCATTTATTACCGCTGGTGAGAATCTGCCCGCATCCACTACTTAGTGGCTATGAATGTAACCTTTAGAATATTTTTGAAAGCTTAACCGATGAAAAAAAGCTTAACTCCTTGGCACCGGCGCCTCCCGGCCCTTTAAGGGTTTCAGAAGCCGGGAGGCGGCGCAGGGTTTCAGGGTCATGTGACCGCCATTACACGCCGTCAGGGCGGTCACATGATTGGGAAAGGTCCTGATTGAAAGAGATCGGGATCTTTCCATGAGTACCGGACATGTGTGCTGGGAGTGCGCAGGTTTTTTTTAATAGAACGCAAATGTGCGGCTGCTCGGCGTCTAGTCTCAGACGCTGGGAGGCCGCACATTTATGTTCGGCCGGTGCCAAGAGGTTAACATTCCCCTCAAGTATATTTACTTCATAGAAAACTGGAAATGTTTTGAAAATAATATCAATTATGGGTGGAAGATATTCCAGACCCAGGTAAACTGTTAGAATTTAGGCAGCATGTCTCCTGGCCTCTGTTCACACAGCATATTTATGGCAACTTTTGGCAGTTTATACAGCCCCCTTCTGTAATACGGGACCTCAAAGCTTTCCTTGGCATGGTGCACCTCTCTAGCATCAAGACAATCATCTAGCAACACAATACCTTTGCTCTCTGATAACTTGACTTTCTTTGGCTTAATGGCATGTCTGGAGTAACATGGTAAACCTCTGGCCACTGTCAAAATTCCATGACAGTACCCATTTATTTATTATTTATATCAAAGTATATATTTATTTAATATATATTACAGCATTTCATTTTAAGAATATTCAAGGGGTTGGCAACCTGTACCATTGTCAGATGGAATGCGGGACCTGTTGGAATCTTGCAGTTTTAACTTGCAGGTAGAAGGTCCCATTTGGATCGGGCAATTTTAACTTGCTAGCAGGAGGATCTGGGGTGCAGGCACAGGATGGGGGGAATACAGAGCCCTTAGGGTGTTAATGGTGAAGTATCCCTTTGTGTTTCAACACTGCTCACTGGACTTGTGTGCCTTCTGTGATACAGAGTGATCTCCTTTCCTACAATTAAATTATAGTTCTGGCAGAGTGGCTGAGGTAGCAGCATAGGTGAGAAGGAGCATTGTGGGAGTAATCACTTAGGTAAGTAAAACCCCTGAACAGAATACAAATGTTGAGTTTTTACTATACCCCCTGTCCTGGGGCTGTTCTGCTGCACTTACACAAATCCTTGGAGTATTTTACTGCACTGACACCAATCCTGATTTTTTTTGTGCTGCACAGATACCAATCTTGGGGTTATGTTTTTGCACTAATGTCAATTCCGGGAGTATTATAATGCAAGGCACTGATCCTGGGGGTATTTTGTTACATTTACAAGAATTTTGAGGGTATTTTGCTTTACTGATACCAATTCTGGGACTATTTTGTTGTACTGACACCAAGATGTGTGTGTGTTTTTTTTTGCTGTACTGACACTAATCCTAGGTTGTTTTTTTTTTTGCTCCAGTGACACCAATCCTGGGTTTTTTTGCTGCACTTAACACCAATACTGGGAGTATTTTACTGCACCATTACCAATCCTGGGGGTATTTTACTGCACGTACACAATCCTATGTGTATTTTGCTGCAATGACATCAATCCTGGGGTATTATGTTGCATTTAAAGAGTTATTAAACCCACAACAGTAAAATCAGTCTGTATATGCAGTAAAGCATGCTTGTTATACTCATTGTGGAACCTAAGGGGTTAATCCTCTGCATTGTGTAAAAACGCTGTTTGAGCCTGTCTTCTCTGATCCACCCATTCTTCCAGTGTCCTCCTCTTATCTCCTGATAAGACATATTGTGTTGAGTCACTCTGCACATGCTCAGTTTTGTGTGTATTGCTAGAGAGGTTTTTTTTTCTTGGGAGAGTACATGTGATCAGAACAGGGTCAGTCAGTACTGTCCAGACAGAGAGTCGGGGGTTCTGCATCCTCCTAGAGCAGAATGAAACTCCTTTTACAAGCTTTAAACAGTCACAAGACTGCTATGTACTGCTGATGAGAAAAGGTATTTATAGTTTATATTTAATAAATAATAAATAATTGCATTTCCATGTTGTGTATACTGTGGGAGACCAGATATAGTGAATGGAGGGTCCTGGGTTTAGTTACACTTTAACACCAATCGTTGGAGTGTTTTACTACAGTAACACAAATCCTAGGGGTATTTTGATGCAGTGATAACGATCCTGGGGGTTCCTTATTGCAGTCACTGACACTAGTTTTGGAAGCTATTATTGAAGTCACTGAAACCAATGTTGAGGGTTATTATTGCAGTCACTGTGTTTCTTGCTGTAAATTTTGCCAATTTAGATGGAACCTCACCCACCTTTCCCTCACAGTACATATCATTTTTGGAAGTTATCGTTTCCTTTATCATTGCACTTTGTAAACTGTTAACTATGCTTACATTTTAAAGGATAAGTTCAGCTTTCAAAAAAATATTAATTGTACAAAGGACTTTTTTTCTCAGAGAACAGGTAGAGGAACTCCCCCTTCTGAGTCACTTCTTGTCTCTGCCCCCCTACCCACCTCTGAGCACCGTCCCTTGGTTCCACATCCTACCCACCTCCCAGTACTGCTCCTTTTAGAATAGACAGAGCAGAGTATTATTTTTGTGTTGCTAAGTAATTTGTTACTGATAACAAGAAAAGCAGTAAAAGAGATCCCCTGCAGCTAGCAACAATACACCCCCCAGCAACAATAGATTCCCTGAGCAATAATGGACCCCCAGTACAAAATATCATCCTAGCAACAGTAGATCCCCAGCAGCTACAACAGATCGCTCAGCAGTCAGCATCAATAGACTCTCCAGCAGCCAGCAACAATAGACCCCTCTCTTAACAGTAGATCCCTTCCAACAATTTCCCCCCAGCCCCAATAGATCCCCCATCAGAAACAACAGACATCCCTAGCAGCAATAGACCACCATGCATAAATAGGTCTTCTCCAGTAACAATGGATGCCCCAGCAGCCAGCACGAATATATCTTCCAACATGCCCCAGCACCTCTTGCCATTACATACATTCAGTGCTGGAGGTGCCAGAACTGCGTTCCCCCACCTTCCCTGCTGAAAAAAAGACCTGATTTTACATATTTTTCAGGTAAAAAGAATGCACATTTATTATTTTTTTCTTTACATTTACAATCAGCAGATTGTGGGTGCAATCTTAGGCTCCTGCATAGTCTTCCTCTTACTTTGTGGCCATATCCCCATATGGACTTTCAGTTACAAAGCTACAGGAAGAATGAATGAACTGTGAGCATGCTGAGCAGCACACTTGCAGCCCAGTCAAACTACACGTCCGTTTTCCTCGGTGGCAGACAGTACTTGTTATTCTTTTATTCACAGATCACTGTGAATCATTGATGCGGCTGTGTGGGAGGAGACCTGCACAGACACACTGTTTTCAAAAAGTGACAGTGGGTGCGGGGAGAAGATCCCCCGCCCGCTGCTACAGAGTGGGGAGCACTGGCAGTGGGAGGCGGGTGCATTGGAGCATGTTCAGAGGCGGGACTGACCATTTGGAAACTCGGGCACTGCCCGAGGGCCCGAGGTCAGTAGGGGGCCCCATGAGATGCCCCTGGTACCTTTTTCATAGGCTTTTTTGAGTTTGGGCAAGGACACAGGGGCCCCATGATCCCCTATTGCCCGGGGGGCCCCATGAGTTGTCAGTCCGCCCCTGAGCATGTTACATGTTACACCCTAAATGTGGTTGTAACATGTAACATGCTTCTAAAGATGAACTTAGTCTTTAATAGAATAACCTTGTTTTTCACTCATATCTATAATTCTAGTCACAATTTACTTACTAAATTTTTCGTTTTGTGATTCGGGGTTTGAAATAGACATTTTGTTTTACAAATCTGGCATACTAGGTTCAAAAGGTTGCCTACCTCTGGACTATTCTATTGCATTTTTACTTTGTTTATTGGTAAATGGAAAGGTATTTATATTCAAGACCCAGAGTACAACAATATGTTGGAGTTTTAAGTTCATAAAATGTATCTTCTCAACACAAATCTATGGTATACATTTTCCTCTCATGTCCCTTGGTGGATGCACTTGGCTTTGTTTTCAGGATTTTCACGTAGTAGTGCACACTTTGTCTGGGAAGCTTTGTAAGTGGTGAACATGCCAGGCATTCAAGAGGGTGGTCCTCCAACTTCTGGTGGTTGTGAGACAGGTGAAACTATGGGCCTACCAGTCCAAATGGTACAAAACCAGTCCAAAAAGTACTTCATAACAAATGAACACATTTTAGAAACCAAATCAGGCGCAACTTCAAGTTTTTTGGGATAAGCACTTACACCAAAGTAACTGTTGTGCCTGTGAGTTAGCTATAAATTTTAATCTTGACCATGTGCAATGGTTAAACACTCACCTATTCACTGTTGCTCTTATCTGTAAAATTGCACACAAGGCACTATTAAGTCTAAGGCCAGCAATGTTCTTGACCTCACTCATTGAAAGACGTTCTGTTCCATTATTACATTGTATGATATTATTTTTTGCTTTGTACAATGCTGCACTTGCAAACCAATATATGATTAACATACAGTGTTAGCGCTTGTTATACCATAATTATTTTCTTCTGAGAACAGTAGGGATGCTTTCATTGTGGTACCCTTGTACACTGGTGAGCTGGAGATGTGCTGAATAAACGTTCCTATATTTTCTGTGACTCACCCTGAGTAAAGCAAGGATGACTATGCATGTCTGAGAAGAAGTACTGACGATGAACATTGTGAATGCATTATGACATTTTAATGAAAATGTTGAATCCTTGCCTTTTATTTTATTTTGTACGTGGAGTGAATTCTGTAAAACTCACCCTTATGCATTGTGACTCACAACGTGATTTATTTAATAGCAGTGTAGATAAAATCATGAGCAGAGCTATTAGCAATCAATCCAAAGTCAGTAATTATTGATATGACTATGCAAAAGACCTGAATGTTGAGATCTAATTGATGAGGGAGAATTTCATACAGTGACAATGCCCATCCAGCACTACTATCTATGAGGCAAGCAGCCAAACGTTGTCCTGTGGTATTGAGGGTAAGAGGATGCTTCACTAAGGCTTTTGAGGCAAAGTAGTGTATAAAGTACTATGAAGTTTTTGTCATTATAACCAGGCACACTTTGCTTTTCTATAAATGGGTCACAAGTCCTTGCAAATACTTGACTTTTGGGTGTTGGGACGGGGGATTCTAGGAACGCAGCATGTTGTCCTTATTTGTTGCTTGGGTTTTGTCTCCTGAGGTATGCAGAACCTTGGCACACAGTTGGGTGATCAAAGGAGAGAGTCCAGTCTAGTAATGATGTGAAACAAAAAGTGGTCTTCTGTTGTGGTGGATATACCAGTTCCATGTTGGGGAGTTTAGTAACTGGAAGAGAAGCAGGCTTATGTGGAGCCCCAAGAGTCAGGAAAGGCTACTTGCTCAAATGCTGTTGTAAAAAAAGATGCACCTAGGGTTACCTTAAGGTTTGCAGTGAAATATCCCTGATCTTTCTTTAAGACCTAAAGCCATCAAGGCCATACAGCGGTTAGCTCATGTACCACTTGCTGCCATTACTTTTTAATGACTGCAAGTTCAATATACTTTGGCCAAAGTGCTTAGTCTACTTCTAACTACCTACTCTGAATGTATCAGTTGCAAGAATGATGTTCCATTTTGCTACTATGACCTCATCAGACTAGTCTGACAATGTAGTTCTATACCCTGAAGGTATGCTACTGTCTGATTGGTTAGTGTGGATCCTTGTCTATCAAAAACTTTGAACCACAGTATTAAATGAAGCAAAAACTATGTTGAAACATAAGTCCCCTCTGCCCTTTAGATATTGTCAAGGGTCACTGTGTCATCTAATTCATCTACAATCTAATCTACCAGAACTGCCATGTTAAAATTGTTGTGCAAGAGGATGGGGTTTGATAGTGCAGGGCAGGGGCGGACTGACAACTCATGGGGCCCCCGGGCAATAGGGGATCATGGGGCCCCTGTGTCCTTGCCCAAACTCAAAAAAGCCTATGAAAAAGGTACCAGGGGCATCTCATGGGGCCCCCTACTGACCCCAGGCCCCCGGGCAGTGCCTGAGTTTTCAAATGGTCAGTCTGCCCCTGGTGCAGGGTATAGGTCATAAGGGTACAAGAGGCATGGCTTAATGTCAAAAATACTCTAAATACTCCAAGAACATTTGTGCCTGTGTAGCTTTCCTTAGTCCTCTGCAAGAAGACCAAACCACAGGTGCACTTTAAAATTGAATTTATCTGTAATCTGGTATTGCTTCTCGCTGAATACGAACTAATACAAAAGTGGCATTTTATACCTCACATAGAGCAAATGGATTTTTAGAGAGAATGTTTTCCAGCTTTCTGCCTTGCTCCTGGTAGAATGTGCTGTTCTGTAGGAGTCATCAGTGTATAAACGATACCCTAGTTCCATATTCCACCATTGGTCAGCATGCTGATTGCTCTCCTTATGTCCTTTACCCCCCCTCATATGGCATTTGCTATCTCTCATTGCTCAGCTGAGCTTATGAGATCTGTTTAGCTGCCCCCTCCCTCTGCCCAGCCATTCACCCTGAGCACAATGCATTATTAGCCGAGATAATAATATCCTGTGCAGGCTGCAATCTTTTCCTTTACGCTTTGCAAAAATGAAAGCACTCATAAATATGATTAAGTGCTTTCTTGAAATGCTTTGACTGTTTAATTTTTGAAAGACTGTCAGAGCTTTGTTCTTAAAATGCAAATGAAACTGTTTTTGTTAAAGTACAGCATAATGATCTGTTTACTTGGGAAGACAAGCGTATATATTGGTCTTAATGAAATATCCCATTCATATTTTTTCCTGTTTATCATGGCTTCATCCACAAAGCTAACATGGATCCAGCGTTCATGCTTATCCCTCCACTGGCTCCCTATCGCCCAACGCATCAAATTCAAACTTCTCACTCTGACCTACAAAGCCGTTCACAACACTGCCCCTAACTACCTAACCAACCTGATTCCCAAGTACCACCCTACCCGTACCCTTCGCTCTTCACAGGACCTCCTTCTATCTTGCTCCCTGGTCTCCTCCTCACACGCACGCCTGCAAGACTTCTCCAGGTCCTCCCCCCATCCTCTGGAACTCACTACCCCAATCCATCAGACTGTCACCTTCTCTCCTCACCTTCAGGCGCTCCCTGGAACCCACCTCTTCAGGGAAGCCTACCCCACCCTCACCTAACTGCTGCTCTCCTTCGTTCCTCCTACCACTCCATCCCCCTCAGCCACTTCCTCCTATACCACTACCCCCTCCCTCTTAGATTGTAAGCTCGAAAGAGTAGGGCCCTATAACCCCTCGTGTGATGTTTGTAGTTGCTGTAATGTTTCAAGTATTGTCCCCCCCCCTATTGTACAGCGCTGAGCAAACCCTTTGGCGCTATATAAACTCGATGTAATGTAATGCTTAAAGTTGCACATCTGGTTGTCTGTTTAACTCTTCTCTGCCAGTGGCCCCTGTTCTATGGAAAAACCTGCTTATTAGATTTTGTTGTTCTGCTTATGAACCATCCCCTTTTCCCCGTGTGGTCTTTTTTGCTTTGCTTTTGTTTTAGTTAAGGTATATATTTTTTAATTTTGGATACAATAAGGAAAGTAAGCAATGGATTGAATCCAAGTTTTTTTTGTCTGTGTCCAGTTGAGGAAATTTCTCTTTACTTCCTAGACACAAGAGGAAGTGAAACAAATTCTGCCCAAAGTGAGGGGAAAAATCCTCATGGGCAGTTGTCACTGGAACAGCTGTCCTATTGGAAGATCTATCCAATATTTTGTTGTCTGCTTTCATTGGACATGGTCATCTACAGTCCTGACCATGCTTTTGTGCATTGAGTCATTGTTTTAAATGTGTAACTTGTGCAAGGGCACTGAGGGGGTCTTGGATTGCAGAATGGACACTTGTTGAACATTTTCTTTTGGCACATTTTTCTACTGTGATACTTTACAGGGTATAATCTTCAACATTGGAGATGGGGCTCCAGGTACGGCTTGGGTTAAAGTTATGGGGAATGTTAAGGGTTACTGTTAGGGTTACAGGTAGGATTAGTGCGAATGATTGTTTTAGGCTTACTGGTATTATTAGTGTAAGGGTTAATTTTAGGGTTACATGGAGGGTTAGTGTTAGGATTATAGGGAACGCTGGTGTAAAGGTTAATTTTAGGGTTACAGGGATTGCTACTTGGAGGGTTAGTGTTACAAATATAGAATCCTCATAGATAGGTGCTAGGATTAGGTAATTTTGGCTCTGGCTCACTGTATCCAGATTGTTTAGGTCTGTTAAGTGTTTCACAGGCTATAGGTTTTATTTCTCCTCCTGCCTTGTAGGACTTGCTGGAAAATACTGCAACATAGGTGTGGAGTAAGGCAAATGAGCAATATGAAAATGTATACTGTTTCAGCCAATCCATGTGGGATGATTTCTAAGAGGGGACTGGGGAAGTGTATATAGTTTGAGACCTGGAACAATCTGGTCTTGTAACATATAGAAAGAAACCGGAGCTACTGCCTATTAATCCATAATAAGAGCTCACAGGTGCTTGGTCCTCAGTCACTCAACCTAATGTACTAATCCATATTGATGATCCGCACAACCGATGCTGCTTCTAAAATCTTGGAATAATTCAGGAAACCACAGTGTACAGTATGCAAAATACAGTTAGTTGATGCGTTTCAGCCTACACAGCTTTAATCATAACCATCAGATCTGGTCTTGTCCCTGAGGAGAGGATCACAGCCTTGGGGGGCTGATTTCCCCCAAGGCCATCTGGGCATGGGTTTTTGATGATGATTGCAGTCCCAGCTGTGTGAGCTGGGGAGGGGGGGGGCTAGTTTTGCTGGAAGTTACTGAAGATGAGTGAGAGACTTTTGTCTGTGGACCTAGTATGGTATCACAGGGAGAAACTGTCTGGAAGGCATTGGAAGGAGGCAGCCAATCATTTGAAGACATTGTGAGTACAGACAGTTGTGAGAGATTCTAGAGACTGTGTGCTATTGCCACCCCTTTGGTGCTAGAAAGTTAGCTGTGTGTAAAGGTGACAATGTGGTCAGTGTCCTGAAGAGCTCAGTCTATTTAATTCTTAGTGAAGGAATTTGCTTGGACCTTCCACAGAGAAAGATTAATCTCCTCAAGCTACTGCCACAACACTTAGTCTACTCTTTTACCAGTGTAAGAACTTGGCTCATAGCTCTACAGAACTATGAGAGAAAGTGTCCTTCTATTTGCAGATAGTTCTGGAATATCCCACTCAATTCCCCATCCCTATCCAGGTTACCCAAAAAAACCCCACCAAAAAAGAACACCCCTAGACTGTTTATTGGACCAAAGAGTGACTGTGACCATGTGCTTGGCTGTAGGGCAACTACTTAGAAAAGAACCCTTGGCACTTTTCAAGCTGCTCCTATGGGGGTAGTGCTACGCAGAGATTCAGAGATTGTTAGCTGCTAGAACTTGTATTAGTGTTACAGTGAGGGTTCGTGTAGGGTATATGTTGAAATTGTAGGGAGGGTTGGTATGAGGGTTAGTAGTGCTAGAATTACAGGGAGGGTTACTGGGAGGGTTAATATGAGGGTTGCAGGGATTGTTAGCGTGAGGGTTAGTGTTAGGGTTACTGGAAGGGTTAATGCTGGAGGTACAGGGAGGATTAGTGTATGGATTACAAGAATTGTTAGTGGAGTTTAAGGATTAGGGATGTAGAGATGGATGGTGTTAGGGTTGTAGGGATGATAGTGTTGGAATAAGGGTTACATGAATGTTCAGTATGAAAGGGACCTAAGGGAAAAGCATTGCTCTTTGTGCTGGGAGATCTGCCCTGAAAATATCTGAAAACACTGATCTCCTGGAGCTGAAACCAACAAGTACGTAGAATGACTAATGCAAACTAGGCAAAAAAGCTATCAAACCTTTAAGATGGCATGTTATGCCTTGATGGGGAGCAATGTTGCTACTGTACTGTACATGTATATAGAATTGAGACAGCTTCTTTTAATGACATTTTACAGCATAGATTCGGCCAAATATTATTTATGATCCAGTTGACACTGGTGGACACTCCGTTATCACTCAGTTTTTGATCAACTGGCTATTTACTTAGCTAGCAACTAAAAAAAACATTTAAAAAAAATACCAAAGGTAGTTCTATAATGTGTATATTCAAATGGCATTTTGGTCTAATTTTTTTGGGCACAGGAGGATTTTCTGGCATTTCTGTAGGCTGTTAGTTGACGCAAGACAAACATACCGGCTTGTGAATATTAAATACATAATTTGCTTACCTTGTACAATATCACAATCAAAGGTCATCTTTCATACCAGTATCTGGATCTCTCCAGCACTGACTTCCTCATGTCAAGAGCATCTAAGAAGGAAAATGGTGCGCAGCATGTTAATGACATCACCAAATCTCTCTCCAGATCTCCTTGGATTGGTCAGATGCAGGAATGCCTTAGATCTCACACTGCAGATATACAGCTAGAAGGCTGTAGGCACACTCATATACCTATTTTTAAGGAAGAATTCACAAAACGTACTGTTAGGCACAATTAGTACTTCTAGATGTCTCCTTTAACATAGCACAGCTTCACATTTTGAGTTCATCTCCACTTTAAGTTCACTGTAACATTATTATAAACAAATGAATAAGTGACTATGACATTTCTACATTCCAATTTCAAAAACAGCAATAGAAAAATATTCAGTCTGCTATATTTAAGAACACACATTTGCTTCAAACCTATTTTGTCAACACTTTCCTTTAGCACATTCTGTCATCAGCTTGACAGGAGAAAATTCATATGTATTTTGCATTAAAATGAAAGATTTGTTTTGTTTGTTCAGTGAAACACAGACTGCTAAGGAAAAAACTACAGCATGCAACTTTCAAATGTACCTTTTCTAAAGTAAAGGAGATGTCTTATCCATTGTCCAGTCCCACAGGTCAGTAGTGAAATGCAGGCGGGTCCATTCAAACTCCCTCAAAAGTAGATTTAGTCAATGGAATTTTTTTCACTTTGGATAAAGTAGAAAAAGATTAGAATGACTGTCAGATTTTTAATGCTATGCAAACCAACTATTTGATAGTCC